GTTCCAACTTCATTTACAATGCATTAATTAAAAGTTACAAATTAACCATATATTCACAAATGTTTCTGATTTCACTCCGAACTCGTGTAGAATTTGATGCGAACATATCTTGCTCTATTGTTTGCCGTTGAAAGCGTTTAACATCTCGTTGGAACGATCTTACCGAGTTCTAAAACCTGTCTTCAGGCTCTGGTTTCATAATATCAAGGGATGATTCCCTAATTACTAAAATACACTCTATTTACTCTAAAAGAGCTCTATTTTCGCTGAAAACGCTGAATCATAGAGTTAAGGCTAAGTATTTGTGACACTCATATCTTGCTGTGTGTTTATCGTTTAGGAGCGTATTATATCTCGTTGGAAAGATAGATCGGAGCTCTAAAGCTATTGTTCCAACTTCATTTACAATGCATTAATTAAAAGTTACAGATTAACCATATATTCACAAATGTTTCTGATTTCACTCCAAACTCGTGTAGAATTTGATGCGATCATATCTTGCTCTATTTTGTGCCGTTGAAAGCGTTTAATATCTCGTTGGAAAGATCCTACCGAGTTCTAAAACATGTCTTCAGGCTCTGGTTTTAGAATATCAAGGGATGATTGCCTAATTACTAAAATACACTGTATTTACGCTAAAAGTGATCTATTTTCGCTGAAAACGCTCAATCATAGAGATAAGGCTAAGTATTTGTGACACTCATATCTTACTGTGTGTTTATCCGTTTGGAGCGTACTATATCTCGTTGGAAAGATAGATCGGAGCTCTAAAGCTATTGTTCTAAATTCATTTACAATGCATTAATTAAAAGTTACAGATTCACCATATATTCACAAATGTTTCTGATTTCACTCCGAACTCGGGTAGAATTTGATGCAATCATATCTTGCTCTATTTTATGCCGTTGAAAGCGTTTAATATCTCGTTGGAAAGATCATATCGAGTTCTAAAACTTTTCATCAGGCGCTGGTTTCAAAATATAAAGGGATGATTGCCTAATTACTAAAATACACTGTATTTACGCTAAAAGTGCTCTATTTTCGCTGAAAACGCTAAATCATAGAGATAAGGCTGAGTATTTGTGACACTCATATCTTGCTGTGTGTTTATCTGTTTGGAGCGTATTATATCTCGTTAGAAAGATAGATCGGAGATCTAAAGCTATTGTTCCAACTTAATTTACAATGCATTAATTAAAAGTAACAGATTAACCATATATTCACAAATGTTTCTGATTTCACTTCGAACTCGTGTAGAATTTGATGCGATCATATCTTGCTCTGAGTTTTGCCGTTGAAAGCGTTTAATATCTATTTGGAAATATCTTACCGAGTTCTAAAACTTGTCTTCAGGCGCTGGTTTCAAAATATCAAGGGATGATTGCCTAATTACTAAAATACACTGTATTTACGCTAAGGTTTCCTGTAAAGCTTAAGTTGGGTCTAGTTTTAGTTTTTTATATTCCCTTTTACTCTCTGTATCTTTCATTTTATTTCTCTTCTTGCCCTGCACCTTTTATTTTTATGAATAAAATCGTTCTTTAAAAAAAATCCAAAAAAAACATTGTATTTACACTAAAAGTGCGCTATTTTCGCTGAAAACGCCTAATCGTAGAGATAAGGCAAAGTGTTTGTGACACTCATATCTTGTTCAGTGTTTATCCATTTGGATCGTATTATATCTCGTTGGAAAGATAGATCGGAGCTCTAAAGCATTAATTAAAAGTTACATATTAACCATATATTCACAAATGTTTCTGATTTCACTCCGAACTCGTGTAGAATTTGATGCGATCATATCTTGCTCTATTTTGTGCCGTTGAAAGCGTTTAATATTTCGTTGGAATGATCTTACCGAGTTCTAAAACTTGTTTTCAGGCGCTGGTTTAAAAATATCAAGGGATGATTGCCTAATTACTAAAATACACTGTATTTTCGCTAAAGCTGCTCTATTTTCGCTGAAAACGCTAAGAGGTGGGGACGTCCGTCCCCGAATACCTCGTAGGGATCCTGGTTCTGGATACCTCCTGATGATGAACAATGTGCGTCCCCTGGCCCTTGGGCCCTGGCACTGGCAGATGATGGACTACGTACGTCCCCTGGCCCTTAGGCATCGACACTGGCTGACGATGGGCTACGTACGTCCCCTAGCCCTTGGGCCTTGGCACTGGCTGACGATGGGCTACGTACGTCCCTTGGCCCTGGCTGACGATGGGCTACGTATGTCCCTTGGCCCTTAGGCCTTGGCCTTCTCCTTGGGCCTTTAGCGAGACGCTCGTAGATGATCCTTAAGGGTTGATGGGCCGGCACTTATCGGGCCATTAATCCAACAAGGGTTTAGGGTTGGTATTGCTCTTTCGGTTCATAATAAGCATTTTTACTCCCGAGCTCTGTGAAATGTCTGGTGTGTGCCATTATGTGGTTGTTTTTCCATTTGAATGTGTATGAACATGAGTACATGACTCTCAAATTTGGCTAGGTTTCTGATTATGTATAATGTATTATGAGTATGTATAATGTATTATGAGTATGATTATGTCATTCTGGAAAGCATGCTGCCAACTGTGAACTGTCCATGGACCCTTGTCCCTTGCTCTGACGTGTTCAGGTTTTGTGTAAGTAACTCATAATCCCATTAATCCTTGACCATATCATTTCTATTAATTTTCATTGACTATGATGAAGCTTCCACACATTACCAAATGTATGGTTTAAGGTTGTTATAGCTCTTTCAGTTCATAACATGTAAGTTGTAACTGAAATTGTAGTAGTTGTCCCTATATTCCTGGTGAAGGATAACAAGCATTCTGAGTCAGTGATTTTTCTGATTTGTTTCATTAACTTATCCAAGTTACTCTGACTTATTATACATGTCTATTGCTTTACATTTGCAATTTTGCATACTTGTATGCAGGTGGAAACTTGAAGCTGTGGAAAATAGTTGTGGTCTTATAGAACACTTGAACTTCAAGTCTTGAATAGTTGGATGTATTAATTTTGCCATTTTTGCGTACTTGGAACTTTGGAATGTTGGATGTTAATGAATTACGTAGCATAATGTGATTTGTAAACTGCAAGTCTGTAATATGTGCTAATGTGCTTATTAGTTTAGTCTCATGTTCTTTACTTTGTTGAGTTTGTTCTATAAGTTTAAAAGACTAGTATCAAATTGTCATATATTTTAATATTTTCTTTACTTTGTTGAGTTTGTTCTATAAGTTTAAAAGACTAGTATCAAATTGTCATATATTTTAATATTTTTATGAACATTTTGTATGAGAATTCAATTTATGTTTTGTATGGTATCAAAATATCAATGTGCTTATTTCAATTTTCAATTTCAATGGTATGAGTTACTTGAACCCGACATAACCCGATATCCAAACTGAACCCGCCCTACCCGAATTTCAATAAAACCCGAAAAATCCAGAGTAAACAACATAGGGTAGGATAGGCTTATTACACATCCGAAACCCGAAAAGGTCATGGGTTCACCCACCCACCCAACCCGAACTCGCCCGATGCTCAGCCCTACCTACACCTACATTATTTCATGAATTTAAAATTATAAAAACTCTAGGGTTTATCTGACCTTTTTCAAATAAGAAAAATGGATAACAATAATCTCAACTATTGGTGATCCGCTTAAAATAATCCAAAGTATCAATTATCTCAAAATAATCCCAACTATTGACAAAACTTCACAAATGCTCCATTGCCTCGTAAATATTATAAGCAACTTACGAGTTATTATAAGTTACTCGAGTATTTTGAAATTTTTCTTCAATAGTTAAGATTTTTTTAGAAAAAATAATACAATACTTGACATTACTTCAAGCAAATCACTAATAGTTGAGATCATTCATGTCCATTTTTTCCTTTCAAATACCCTATAGTCATTTTTTGTGTACACAAAATGTGAACACAAATTGTACATTGGTTATGTAAGACATTTTGGCATAAAATCTTGCCTGTTTTTAGATGAATGACACATGTACACAAGCAACTAGAGGGTTTTGTGTACACACTTTTGTGTACTAATTGTGTATATCTAGGACGTGTTTACTTCGCTGCTAAAGGCACAATTAGATTAGTAAGACCGATGAAGTAAAGACGCAAGCTGCTTACTAACCGAAATAAGTGCTTAAAATCTTCATTTACTAAGCATACTGTCCCCCCATGTATTAATTAAGCGGCACTTTAAGTTTTTTCAGTTTCCGAATTTACCCTTACCCTTATTGTTACCCTTACCCTACCCCCTCTACCCACCCGCCCCGTACCCTACTACCCTACCTTACCCCGACCTCACCCTTGCCCGCACCCCTAACCCCATACCCCTTCCCATATCTGTACGGCGTACGGGCCCTTACCCCTAGCCTTTACCACCGACCACTTACCCCACACACCCGTTACCCCTGCCCCTACCTCGACCCTACCCATTTCCCCTCCCTCGTTATCCCCTACCACCTGCCCCTATCTCGACCCCCATACCCTTTACCCCTCCTCGTACCTCCTACCCTCGATTTCAACCCTACCCCTACCACGACCATACCCCCCCTATACACTCTTCCTACCCCTAACTACCTCTCACCCTACCTCTACCACGGCCATACCCCCTATACACTCTTCCTACCCCTAACTACCTCTCACCCTACCCCTACCAGTTTGTACCCTATCCTTACCCTTACCCCGAGTAGGGAGTATATGGGTGGGGGTAGGAGTACGAGCCTGTTGGTCAAGGTAGGGGCAAGGGTAAGGGTGTAAGCGTATGGGTACGAGGTAGGGGTAGGGGTTAGGGGTATGGACGCGTACGAGGTGGTCTCCACGTATTATATTATATACTTGTGTACATGAATGTTTGTGTGTCTATATATGTATAGAATTATTTTGAACATTTTAATGTTAAACAATGTTTTAAAACATTTGACGTAAATATGAACTTACAACACTGTTTAATTTTATCACCCCTTATTAACGCGAACCTTAACAAACATCTTAACAAACATCTTAACAAGGATACGACATCGTGTGCTGCGTTCGTCTTATCGTCTAGATAGAAATGAATCGAACCTAGGTTAGAAAAGGACAACTAAAATTGTGTGATAGCTATCGCTGGGTGACGTACGACGATCCGAAGAAGCTCTCGTTTCTCAACAATGGCTCTCATTTCTCGGATTCTTTCCAGATCCAGCCGTCAGGTTATTCTCCATCATTGCGCTCTTCTTCTTATCTAGGAATCTGTGATTCATCCACCTGTTCGATGTGATTAATGTTTGAATTGTAACATTGCCATGTTCTTCTTCTGTTTTTTTTTATCGCGTTCCTTTCTGCTTATGTGTGTTTATTCGAATTACCATTCCTTCACCTGAATTGGATCCGATTTGGTTACATGAGCGCAACGGTTTGTGAGTTGGACTCGGGTGTTTGTAACAGAGGGATTGTAATATGATATATTAATGCGTATAGTGAAGGTTTGTTGTGATCAGATGTTTGGTTTGAGTGATTTCGTTAGGGGTTTCTGGTGTGGGGGAGACACCTGAGTACTGAGTGCGAGCTGAGAGGCCAGAAAATATTTCCTCTTACTTATCAGAACAGATTAATTGACTACACAGAACCCAAACATTGTGAAGTATGTACGAGAATCCTTTGGTGTAGAAATCTAAAGTATTTCTCATGAGAAGTTCTGTCATAATCAACTTTCCTTCTCCTTAAAAACAAAAACTTTAAAATTTAGGCAGAATTCGTAAGAATATTCCTACATGTAGGGATTCTACAATAATAATCCCTACTGAGAGTGTTTATAGAAATAATTCAAACTAGCAATAGTGTCCACAAGAATAAATTGAGGTGATTTCACTAGGTTGGGAGATCGAAATGTTAACCATATATTCACAAAGAGTGGTGAAGAGGAAAGTGGACGCAGGAGTCGGGAGTATTAAAGGACATTAATTTTAATTCACCCCAATTTATCCTTGTAGACACTATAAGCAGTTTGGATTATTTTTATGAACACCCTCAGTAGGGATTATTATTGTTGTAGAATCCCTAAAAGTATGGACTATTCTTGTGAATTTCGCCTAAAGTTTATATATATTAAATATTTAAATGTGGGGTAGTAGGGGCAGTATTCCCTTTTCTTATGATGTTCCGGTAGTTGTGCTTACTAGCCACATAAATAAGATATTTATTGTCTCTATTTTACCGGACTAATGATCAAGCATTATATTTGGAAATCATTCTTTTTTTCTAAACAATAACAGATTTCTAATATTCTATGGATGAGTTCCTTCGGGATTGTATTTTCTTTGTTACTCCGTATTTGATAAGTATCCATGCACTTGGTGCTATGTGGCAACTTTGAACAATAATGTGATGATCCTTCAATCAGTTTCATTGGCAGACTTCTTATACTGATAGTCCTACTTGCCATGCATATCTCAATGGTGAACTAACATAGTATCATTTTTTGACTGCAGTCATTTAAAGCTATGAATGAAAAATGTTATTTTTACATTTATGTGTAAATGTTATGTAATTTTTGCCAGGATCTGTTGAAATGAATGGATTATTATTTTCTTCTGCAGTTATGTAGTGGTCAGGTCATCTTGCGACCAGACAGCGCAATTCCAGTTCGTTCCTTTGCCAAAGGAGCTGGTGCCCCTACAGCACTCAAGGGTGATGGTTAGTTCAACTTTGAGGATCATTAGTAGATTCCTAAAACTCCTTTGTTGATGGTGTCTACTGGTTGTTGTAGCTAACTATTATAAATTAAACAAGTTCTAGGACTTGCAATTTTCGATTGCCACGGTACCCGTGTTGTTGATGTGTTAGCAATTGAGTTTGTCATCGTCAAACAACTTTTATGTACTTTAGTATATAAATATAAATATATTCGAAGCAAAAATTAACAACATTCATGCAATTATGTTACTATGGTATAGACCTAAAGCACTGCTTATGCAAAATAGCTTTGTTATAAAATTGATAAAATGGTTTCTTTTTTGTGTGCTCATATTCTTCTACTATCTTTTTGGGTGGAGTGGTCTATGTGCGTGTTTGTTCTTTTGCTGCTGCATCACTTCCATCAACTGCTTTTAGGGATTTCATTGTTCTTCAAACCTATCGCTGGAAGTAACTTACAAACTGTTATTAATCGCATATATTTTATACAAACTGACTCTTTTGCAAATTTCACTTCAATAGTAACTTGAGAGGCTTACTTCTTTAGACTGGAGAGTTGATAAGTCACCTTTTATTCTTTTCCATTTTTCAGAATCCCTTTTCTGTCAATTTTGTTTGGGACCATTTAATAGACAATCCAAATTATTGCCACTACCTGCCTCCTTTAGTTAATTACTTGTATCTTACGAATATTATTGTCACGGTTTCATGTGTCCATCTAAAGAAATGTTGAAGAATGTTTTCCTTGAGGTCAAGAAAAAATTTGAGACTGCAATTGGTATCCTTCGAAAAGAGAAGATCACCATAGATCCTGAAGACCCCACTGCTGTGGCTCAATATGCAAAAGTCATGAAGACTGTAAGGGAAAAGTATGAATTCTGATCCATATATTTGTCTTCATTTTAATAATATTTTTGTAATGTATTGTTAGTAATTAGTAACTGGTTGATAGATATTGTAGATAGGATCATAAGAAAATGTACTTATGAGACTAACAGCAGTTTTATTTTTAAAACTGGACGCAAATTCGAGGAACATTCTCATGATAAAGTTCCCTTTCTAACTAGAGCGTTATGCTACTATGATATGGAGACATGGTTACAGTGTTATTGCCCTATGATTGCAAGACTACACAAGTTAGGCCACAATTATGTTGTATGTATGATATTTCATATTTGAGTTTTATTCTGACTGCCCTTGTTGAGCATTATATTACTATGACACTGTTTTGGAGAGCTACACTGCCAATGAGCCCTAAACTGGTATTTAGTAATAAGCAACTAAGCGAGACCTTCAGTATATTATACCAAATATTGTTTAAAATATTGTTGCTCTTTACTATTTCTAGATGAAACTGTTTTTTTCATTGTGCCGCAGAAGGATTTTCCGTCCTTCGTTGGTGTTTAGAATGGCTTTGTTAAAGTGTATTGCAGTCATGGATTTCAATGGCCATTGGATTCATTTAAAAAATGTCGACTCAATATCTGCAGAGCAAATATCCAATCAGAGTCTGAAAAGGTCAAGGAAACAATCGATACACAAACAAATGAGATTCCAGATGCTCGGACTTATTTGCTGACATTGAAGGAGATACGTATTAAGTACGTATACTAATCTATCCCAGTATAAGTTTAAAGGAGTAATATATTTAGCAGCTTGAATTAATCTTACTAACTCTATCCCAATAATCTCTCTTTGCATTAAGGCATTGTGCTACAGGAGAAAGATTTGTTTATATGCAGTAAATGACATACCTAAACGTCCTAAAGTATTATTTATCTTGAACACAAATAAACCTTAAATAGTTGTGATACTCTGAGGATTGCCCGTGGGGAAAATTCATCATGAGGAATAGTCGGTTCCCCACTAGATTCCAAAAAATTGGGGGAGCAATCCTACTCGTGTTAATATATTCTAAAAACAAAGATTCAGGCTATCCTCCCCCACCCACCCTTCCAATATTTATGAGCGTGGTTGGGATAAATGTCGTCCTTTAGAGAGAGTACTAGGAGAAATTTTATCCTTGACAGTTTCTTGAGAGTTATCTTGTCTATTGTCAAAGCTTTATGTGTTTAAGCTTGGCAGAAAATTTAGAGATTTATCTTGTCAAAGACTCAAAGCCTTATGTCAAGTAGGCTTGTCAATGGGTCGGGTCTGAGCCGGAACATAGTGTTCCACACCCAAACCGTATACTCAGCTGGTCTGAAATTATTGGTCCAAACCCGAACCCAATGGGTCCTGGAACCGGGTCGGGTAGGCCTATCCAATATGAAGTTAACAATATTGCATATTTTCTAAAAAATAGACCTATATCTGAACTGATTCATATAGGGAGATAAAAAGAGTATATATGGATTGGAAAGATATAAATAAAATTAAGAGTTCTAGATATAATAAGTACATAGTTTTAATAAAAAAAACAAGTGCATTAGCAAAATTAGTTACATTTCTCGTTAAAAATGAATAAAAATGAATTAGTTTTAAGAAAAATAAACATTTGTTTTTTCGAATAAAAATATGTGCTATGTGTATAAAGTTGTCACTAGATGTGTGGTTCTGTGTGTGTATATGAATAGTAGAATTATGGGAATTTCTAAAGGGTATGGGTCCTTATCGGATCGGAATCACATGTACTATTGTACTATACCTGATCCATTTATAATAAAGAATTATGGGCCCGGGTAAATGGAATAAAGTATAGATCCATACTCATTATAAAAACGAGTCCGAGTCAAAACCTGGCCCGTTGACAGACACACTAGATGTGTGTTAGGGTGTGTATATTAATATGTGTGTGTGTGTATATATATATAACACGGAATTGCAGGATTGGGAATTTCTAACGGGCATGAGTCCATAATGGGCTGGAATCACATGTCCATAACCTCATCTAGCCCAAGAAAAAGCTTATCACTCCTGACTTCTCTAATACACGTTTGTTTGTGTCTTCCTCTCCTCTGCTAGGTTATCGGTAATTCAACAGTAATTCTGAGCTCAAAAATGGCGATGAAGATAAAAAACAAAAGTTTATTGTTTAACCGAGAGACAAGAATACAATTCCCAAGTCGTTTCCGACTCCCAGTCCCGAGTCCCAAGCCTGATAATTCCAACCCCCTTTCTATTCTCCCCTCACCCTCTATTTATACTAACTATTCTAATACTCTTCTTATTTCTTATTATTCTATGTAGATCCCTAACACTACTCCCCCTTTGACAACCACCTTGTCCTCAAGGTGGGTCATAGGAGACAGTCCTGATGAACCGCTTCTTCCTCATCTTTGCGCCTCGTCCTTCCCAATATCTTCCAAATTTCAGGACCCTGAACTTCATGAACTGAACCATTTCCATCACTTTTACCATAGTGAGAAGCTGAGGCAAGGGCATATTTTCATGATGCTTCACTACAACCTTGCCAGCACCAAGTGCTACAACCCCTACAGAACCATTCTCATCGGGCAGTTCCTCAATAATAGCATAAAAAACTGGCTGCCACTCCTCCTGGAATTGGATACCTACAGATCTAGGTACTTCATAGAGGTTTTCTGCACCACACTCTTGAGAAGTCATCATGGCTCGGACATTCCATTTTCCTTCAGTATCAAGAATGATGAAATCATATCCAGTAGCTTCATCCTTTGCCATCAAACTGCAGTCAACATTGTTACCAGTTCCTAATTCTTCAAGCTGTGGTCGTGGTTTAGTCAACATTGGCCTAACATAAGGTAACATGTGAACGACCAAATGCTGTATGTTACCAGGGGCCCTAATAGCTAAAGTTTGTTGGTAACTCTTTGGGGCCATCCTCTGTAAAAGCCTTGTGAATGATTCATAAACCTTAGGCAGTAACAGGTTATGAGCTGTCATTTCAGAGATGTCTCTCAACATTATATAACTTTCAAGTGCTTTAAATGGATTTTGTAAATCAAGCTTGGGGTAGTCTAACATGCTCTCAACCCAGGGCGGCAGTTCTGCTTCTTGTATTTCAAGGTGTAGGGCATGGCTAGACTTATCAGTATCATGAATCTGTTGATGTTTTCCCCAGATATTAGCAGATTCTCCTGGAACAGTCTCCACCACCTCCTCCTGAGCCTCTGTACTAGTTTCAGAAGTCATTAGGACTCTGTTTCCAAAGGAACATGGTTGAATAACCTGTCTTTTCTCCTTAATTACGTCCTTGATTTCCTCTTTCGTATTCATTTGCGTGATTACAGGTTCAGTTAATTCCATCTGTGTCTTCTTTATTGACTGGGCAATATCTTGTTCAGGGTGAGAAACTTGCAAACTACAAGAAATTCTTGGTGACCTTGATGATACCTGTTTTTCTGTCCTCCCTGTCTTCTGCCGGTGTTTAGGTGGAAAATCCCTAATCAAGTCTTCCTTTAGAGCATTCCAACTATCTTCTCTCTTATGAAAATCCCACCAATGAAACCAGCCATCTGCGGCTTCCCCCATTGCCTTTGCTGCAATGTCTACTTTAAATCTTTCTGCAGTAGCTTGGACTCGGAAATATCTTTCCATCCTCCCTATACATGCGTACGCTTCAACCTCGTGGAATAGAGGTAATTCCTCCTTCTTTGACCTCGCTGAATTCCGAGAAGCGACCATAGACGAAGAAAGCGAACAGTGAAAATCCTCAGGCGAAGAAGAAGATTCTCCTCTCAATCGCGTCTTTCTTGGATGCGAATAGATGACCGGTGAGGAAGTCTGCGAATTCTGAGAAGGAGTTCGCGATTGCGAACTTAAAGAAGAGGTTCGCGATTTTGTCTGCGACTCTGTCTGCGGTAGCGGGTGAAGCCAACTGCTCCTTGATCGCTCTCCCTGTCCCTTGCAAAGCCTTTGCCCTTACTGCGAAACAAAATACGTGGAACTATCTTCTGATCCATCTGCTCTAGCGGAACTTCTCGCGTGTCCATGATGCGAAGAACGATGCGACGCATGTGAAGGTTGCGAACTATTTCGCGAACTTTGGCCTTGCTCTGCCAGTTTCGCGATCGTAGCCCGCATCGTCTAAAGCATCGTCGTCATCTCTTGTTGATTTCTCTCCATTGTTTCTGTAAATCTTCTTTGGTTTTCCTGCATCGTCTGAGCTCTGATACCAATGTTAGGTTATCGGTAATTCAACAGTAATTCTGAGCTCAAAAAATGGCGATGAAGATCAAAAACAAAAGTTTATTGTTTAATCGAGAGACAAGAATACAATTCCCAAGCTGTTTCCGACTCCCAGTCCCGAGTCCCAAACCCGATAATTCCAACCCCCTTTATATTCTCCCCTCACCCTCTATTTATACTAACTATTCTAATACTCTTCTTATTTCTTATTATTCTATGTAGATCCCTAACATCCTCCCCGTCTCTTTTTCCACACCTCTCAACTCGTCTAACATGTACATCACCCGGTCTTTATGCACATGACCAAACAACTGCAATCGAGACTCCCGCATCTTATCTTCGAAAGGTGTTACTCCCACATTTTGTCTGATTATCTCATTCCTCAAACGGTATTTTGTAGTATGTCCACACATCCAACGTAGTATGCGCATCTTTGCCACACTCATCTTTTGAATGTGACATTGTTTTACTGCCCAAAACTCTATGCCAAACAAGTACCGCGGCACATCGCGGTGACATTGCTCTTTCTTAAACTTCTCTTTCATATAACCTTCACTTAACAGACATTCTTTAGGAACCAAAATAAAGAGCCCACTGGCTTAATTAAAAATCATCTTGCAATAAAATAGACAACACACACATGCGACTATGAGTACAATAACGAAAACACATGAAAAGGAAAAGAAAAAAACTGGCAAATGTTGAGGACATGGTTCAGCTGTTTGATAAAGCAGTGTGTTTGAATTTCTAAGTTCATCATTTGTTCTTTTTTCTTTCTGCACTACATGCAGGGGCAGAGCCAGGACACTAGGCCGGACTGGGCCGATACAAAGAAAATTTTTGGAAATTTTTTTGCCTGAAATTTTTTACACTAAAAATTAAGACATTTTTTAAATTTGGGCTGGGGCAGGGCCAAGGTTGGTCCTCCCGTCTCCGCCCCTGACTACATGTGCCCATTTACTACTTGTAGATCCTTTATTCCCGTGTGGTCTCTATAAGTCTATAAGCATTATCTTGGTTGCAGGAGTGGCCTTCCTGATTTTGATGGCATTGAAGAAAAGATGTTGAATGCACTGGATAAGGTGGAGAAAGAAATAAAAAAGCCGCTAATGAGGAATGACAAAAAAGGGATAGCACTCCTGACCGCTGAGTTTGACAAGATCAACCAAACGTGAGCTCCATTTATAACAAGACAATATTTCTTTGCTTCCAAACTACTAAGTTCTGACTGTCCAATCTGTGGAATTTTACTTACCGATGCCCTCATTTGATGGGACTTAACTGATTTCTCTTTGAATAGTTATTTTGATTATCTTGTCTTGGTTGGAATGTAGTTGAGATGTACCATTTCTGATTTGTTTGTTCTTGCCACAATCATTTAGACTTGGCATACGCAGAGAAGATCTGCCCAAACATGAAGAAGAATTGGAAATTAAGATTGCCACAGCTCAACTCCAAGAGTTGAAGAAGGATGCCCTTGAGGCAATGGAAACTCAGAAGAAGAGGTAATTTTGGTCTTCATCCCAATTTTATGTTTTTTCCTTTACAACCGAGATCATCATCATCATCATTTTCATTTACCCCAGTGCCGCAAACAGTGGCGGATGTGTTTGGTTCAGGGGTGTTCATATGAACACCCAAACATTTGAAAATTCAATATAAAAATACTTGTTAAGAATTTATGTATGTAATTTTTATATAATATTTTAATAGTAAAATATTTTTGAACACCCAAAATTTAGTAGCAAAATCCGCCACTGGCCGCAAAGGCTCCCACCTACGGTGGGGTAAGGGGGGGTCGAATGTACGCAGTCTTACCCCTGTACTAAGCACAGAGAGACCGTTTCCGGATGACCCATAGTGAAAATCCCGTCCAAAATTGCATGGACTGACTGCTGCTTCATAACAAAGAAGCGCAGACAGTTTAGTGAGCCATTTTGCTTTATTCCATCATAATCTCAAGCCAAACATAATGAATCTTTGGCTCTATTGCAAATGATGGAAAACTTTACATCCGAGATGCGCTTCAATAATCATTCTTGGTATTTAGTCCTTCACCCCCAATTCAATGTTTTCATACACTTTGGCACTCGTAGCTGTGTCTGAGTTTCCATCCATAAGCCCATATGCAATATGCCTTTATTTTGTTAGAATGACACTTTTATTTGCAGGGAGGAGTTCAATGATGAAGAAATTCCTGACGTGAAGTCTTTGGACATCAGGAACTTTCTCTAAAAAGAGCATTTAGTGGAAGACAGGATTTTTTGTGCATTTCTTTCATGTTGGCATAATGAGTTCATAAGTGATCTGTGCTGAGCTATTATAAAAATAAAATTATTGGCCAAGTAGTTGGACACTATTTGTGCATCAACACCACAAGAGATTTACCATTGCTTTCAGTCGGTTTGTAATCACAATGTGATATTTCGTTTGAAGCTAGGGGATGATGACAATGTCGTTCTGTTGATATTTTAATCTTGCCCCGTAATGAATTAGTTTCTGCACAAAACACATTCTTAAGTTTGCATAATCACCATTGTGTGATTTGAGACTTGAGAGCAGCGCAATGGTTCTAAATATGGGTTCAAAAGTAATTGGTATCTGCTCCTGCATTATTTTTTTACCTTTTTTTCAAGTAAAAAATTGGAACGGCTGTGGCCATATTTTGGGTTAATGGAATTGGTTTGGACTGGTTATATACTTAAATGTACCTATTACAGTTGGAACTGATAAAACTTGCAACTGACCTGGTCTTTACTGGACTGGACCGGCCCTGTAACCAGTCCGTCTCTAGTTAGTGCAAAGCATGACAAGGCAGCAAAGCAAAACATCAAATTTTGGAAGCCTAGATGTATAGTCGCGTAAAAAAGAAGTCGATGACCAACAAATTGTATGTAAACTCCAATATCAATTTTACAGCAGTAAATGTGAACCCAGTACTTTTTTCAGGCATTATATATTGGATACATAACATATCATTTTGATTCTACAAGTACTAATTAGTTTTGAGTCGTTTAGGACAACTTTAAAATAAGAAAACAATGATCTGAATAAAGGTATCGTGATTAGTGAAGGTCGGGTTTTCCTTTTGCCAACAACTTTTTAAAGTTAATCGTTTGCTTGTCAACCATTTCTCACATCCAACGTCTCAATTTAAATTGACATTTCCCCATCCAGAAATTCCCTATCAACAGTTACATGCATAGAGCCAAAAGTACTACGGAGTATATCTCAGGGCCTTAGGCATATTGATATCGGGCCTTAGCCAAAAGTACGCAGGAGGACAGTACCATCTAAAGAGGAAATGTGAATATTCATACTACAAAAAACTTTGAATATTTTTCCATTATCAAAAAGATCCTTAGATGAGTTAGATCTATTGAATGCAATAGGTTATCCCAGTCAATGAGCTTATACAAAACTTATTAGTGTCTGGATAAGGAAATTGGACCTTTTTTGACAAAAGATAAATTAATTAATATTACAACTGAGGACCAGATACAAGTTCGTCATAATAAAGACTACACTGGGATGAGAGTCAGAGCTAGAATCACACTTAATAGCGGCCTATCTCGCTCCATACACAGCAATGTTGCACCTGCTACTAAAAGGAAACACAAAAAACACCAAAAAGTTCTGAGACGACAACAAATCAAAAGAAAAACATATTATGGTTTTCCCAACCACTGGCAAGGAAATAACGGTTTGACCAGCCTCCGTTAAAGGTTTCTCGTGCTTATTCTCAAAATCTTCTGCTACCGGCGATGCTGCCCGAACAACACCGCCACTTCCAAATTTTTTTGAGTTGCTTCATCCACATCCATATTTGCATGTGTCCCCCTCATCGTTGCCTTTCTCAGTGACCCTGCGCTTTCTTGGTGCTTCCTGAGTTGTAGCAATTTTTGTGCCCTTTGATAGGAATCCTTCCACCATATAGCTCTCATGTTTGCTTATCGCTTTATTGGAGTCTGCTCCTTCATCCCTCTTGTCTCCTGGCTTGTTATAGCTAGAATTAAGCCACTTATTGCTCGAATGCGATCAACCTCACCTCGTATCAACCTGTAACCAGACCCATAAGCCTTCTCCACGATCCATGAGCCGCTATGCGAATTAGAGGGACAGAAACGATCAGCACGACCAAGAATCCCACAGAAAAAAAAAATGGGAATGTCTCATAACAAAAGACTGCCCAGATCCAGCTATCCCCTTCCTGCATGACCTGTAACTCTGTAAGCGCCTAATCAAAGTCATAATAATATTAATAGTGACTCTAATGCGCAGGACCGACCTTTGTTTTCAGCCAAGAGAGCCCTCATCCACTTGCACAAATGATCTGATACTGTTGGCTATTCCACGAGCTGCCCTTGCCGTCATGTAGCTTAATGGTAAGTTGTGAACCTGAATCCAAAAGTCCGCATGATTCGGTGGAATCTCAAGAGGTCTGTCAGTACGCCCCACACATTTGATAACAACAAGATTTTGCTCAAAGGACCACGACCCTTCATCAATAACTCTGCTCAGGTCTCCTTATCAAACTTACCGCCCACAAGCAAGACCACAAGGGCCACCTTTCCAACCAAGGGTTCCAAGCTAGAGGGGCTATTGCTCCAACAAAGACCACCTTACCAAGCTCAAGGGAGTTCTTCTTCCGCTCCAACTGCACCAGATAGTGAGGTGAAGCTAATGTTGCAACAATTCCTTGAAGGACAAAAGAAAAGTACCATTGAGATGAACACAAAGGATGATAGAAATGTAAGAGGAATTTGGAATCCCCATTCTCATTCATTGAAACTCCCCTGACTGGTTACCAGACCATGGCCATTGTTTGGTGAAAAGAAACAACATGAATGGGTTTGTCTAAAACCACTCTAGCCACAATCGATAGACATGATCCCTCATTAAACACATCAACATTCTCTACCAGATCAGTTGCGCGTACCAAACCCCAATTCTCCTCCTCAACAATATATGTCATACTACAATTCTTCGTAATCATTTCCATAACAACATTATCCAAAAGCAACAAACACATCCCAGAGACTCTGACCCGACCAAATACACCCGAAGAATAGCAAAATTTGTAAAAACAAAACCCAATTGCAAGCCATTGCAACCAACAGCCCCAGACGATATTCAGAGCAGAAAAAGCACCACAAAGCCTCAGCCACACAAAGCCGGAAACAAAACGCAGGACAAACGCCCAGAGCAAGAAACAACGACCAAAGCAAGAAAACAAAAAAGAAGAAACCTGATAACAGAGAAGTAAACGCCAGATCACCCTATGAGAGCCATCACCTTCGCCAATCTGAGTCGTCCTGGAGAAGCCGCTCAAATCTGTCGATCCAGAATGCTGCTAGGGTTTGTGGCATTGTTTCAACCGAAAGTTTGATGGGAAATAATCTATGGACATGCTTGAAAGTTTGATGATTTTTTTTCTTTTTACAAACAAATTGGATGAGCCGCTATTTTATGATGCTAAGTGCACTCATCATGATCATTAAAAGTTATATAGGCCCATAACATATTGGATCTCACTGAATTCAATTTAAGCTCATCAACTGCATTCAGCAACTCCTTGATTATGTGAAGTAAATAATGCATAGAATGGTTGGAAAATGGAAAGAATGGAGGCATTAACGTAACACTAGGGACAGAATGGCAGCATTGAGGTAGCGCTTCACAGAACAACATAGTGGTTCCGTTGACCTGACCAAGGCTCAAACCAAACAAGCAGAACTTTAACAGAGGTCTGCTGTATGGTTGAGAAAGGTGAAACAGAAAGGTCACCTTGCTCCTGCAGCATGATAAAGAAACACTTTGTACCAGTACGCTATGGAAGCATTCTATAACAGTATATTATGTTCTAGGTAAAAAGAACAAATTAATCCTCTGAAGGAGAATCAAAATCCACCAAAATCTGACCCAAAAGTGGACCCATTTGACTATTTATTTACTTCAATACTAAATCACTAGAAAGTGGTAAGGATTCTCCCACTTCCAGAATCCAATTTACCGGCATCATCAATCATCATCTATTGTCAAGTACTCACTCCACTTGGAGATGGCTCCCTTCGCTGCTGTGACCAGACTCTCCTTGTTAGGCTCTTCGTTTACAAAATACATGTTTGATTTGGCAACCATTTTTGTAGAGCAACAAGACGGAGTATCTTGAGACTCTAGTGTGCCATCTTCCCATTCAAGAGCACTCTTTGACATTGGTCCTACATCTGCAGAGTTAACATTATCAACTGATGCTTATCAAATATATTTTCCTTTCTTTTTCAGTTAGTTTTACCTTCATCCTGCAATGTGCTGTGTTTTCTGGCATTCCTTTTTGAAAAGACTGGCCGGAAACGCTTTTCCCTGTCAGATTGTGATCCTGCAGTGTAATTGCTGAACTTGGGCCTTTTGAACATTGCCTTTGGAAGCTCTGTCACTATCCTTGTCTCATTTTCCTCCTCTGTGCATCAAATGAAAATAGTGAAGCACATTAATCAAACGCTTATTATTTGATCAATTGACCCCATATTCACTTTGAACGTCAGAACCAAACAACAAGCTATTTTCAGAATTTCGTAAAATTTATAGAACTTCCTATTAATGGATCAATTGGTCTAAAGCTTATGATTCAATGGAGGTTCTCTCTAAGTTCAACCTTCATTTCCCTCAATTGCATTTAAAATAAGCTGAGCTCATAAACTGTCACTGTTTTATACTATCTCAGTCACACTAAGACAGGAACATGAGCAAGTGACATAATCTAAAGAAGGCGGAGTTATATAGTTGGTATTGAACTTGTAAGTATATAATAATTAAAATAAGAATAAATCAGAGCCACACACATATTAGTATGATGCAAAGTTAGTAGGACTGGTAAAAATGGACAATAGTCGGTCAGAGTGAAGTACATAACAATAACTCTATTGCTCTTCTATTAATTTAACTGCATAGTATTATTCTCATCATCATATATTCCTACCAATCGATGAATTGAATTCAAATCAGTGACGGAGTTAATAAATCTCTACTCGGTACCACCACTGAATAGGACGAAATAATGACCTGTTGATTGTTCATCATCTTTTTCAACTGATTCGCCCTCCAAATCCAGGTACTCGGTCCAATCGGTTCTCTTGTTGTTGGGGTTGCTAGGAAAGGGGGCTTCTGTGTCTAGGGTTCGGGGCTCTTGGTGTTCAGGGAGATGGAATTGTTGATCAGAGAGCTGGCGGGACATGTTGAAGTTCTGGACGAACTTCCGAATATCCTTTGCCATGAACCCCTGAGCGAACACCTTCCGTACGGACTGCTTCTGGTTGCACACCACGCAGACCCACTTGTTGCTGCTCTTCTTCTTCTGCTTCACCTGAGATCTAATCATTCAATCGCTTGTGTGTGAAAATAGATACAAACATGAATGGATTATTACCTGCATGGTGCAGCATTGGCAGCATTGTAGAGCAATGAAGACCGTTTGCATTTCTCAGTGTTTATGTTTTCAGATGTTCAACCACAGTCTCCAATGCGCGGGGACGACAGATTTATGTTGAAAACAAAAGTAGGCAAACGGTCTCCGATTTATGCGGGAGATTACTTGTACTGGACCGGGCCCTGGGACGGGACTGACTGGACCGGGCTCCTGTGCTGCAGGCCCGGTACCGGGCCGGTTTGTACCGGGAACGGTCTGGATCCGGGTTTGTACTAGGACCGAATTCGGGTCGGGTCAACTTTTTTTATATGGCTTTTCAAATTAATTCTCACCCCACCCCCAAACCCCCAAACCACCCAGCCCCACCCACCTAGCCACAACCCAAAGCCAAAAAATTAAAAAAAAGGCTGCTCACCATTTTTTTGTCCCGTAGCCCGCCGCCCTATCCCAGGTCCTGGTACCGCCCGACTGGTACCGCTCGGTCCATTCCAGGATTACCAGGAATATCCGCTCTCCAGTAAATTCATTTATTTGTCGGCACACGGCCCTTCTCATATATTCTTTGCATTTATCATTTTTACAACCCAACCCGTAGGTATTATTATTTCTACGGGATTTGCTACCGCTGTCAGAGACCTCATGAGGCTCTCGGTTCGGATTTCAACATCCCGCCCCTGGACTCATACCCATCATCCCGTAGGAAGGTAAGGCCCTTCGGGGTCCTATCTCATGTGTTACTGCTACCGGAGCCTAGTTAGGTCTCCGATTCGGATTCCACCCTAACCCGTGATCACGATGCAAGTCCATGCTATCCAACCCCGCTCTCTAGAGTCGGGAAGGGTCATGGTCCTTACCTATTCCCATAACTCAACCGGCTATCCTCAAGGACCACCGAACACGCCCGTAGGCCAATCCTATACCTAGGATCAATTTATTATTCAATTTATCTTGGGTATCCTTTAAGGTCTATCCCTAGTATAACTTAAAGTTCATACTTTCCTACCTTAAAGCATCTCTTAAGACTACTTAAGGCATAATACTTCACAATCAAACCTTAGGATCAATTTTAGCAAGATTTCATTTTAATGTCCAACTAGTATATCAATACTAGTCCAATTAATTCCAACAAAACCAAGTTCTCTATTCATGGTCATTTATAGAATGCCCCACTGATTTTCCATTGAAAATATCATCATTATATCAATATACCAAAATATCACTTTTAATCATTCATATATTCTTATATGAAGTAAAAGGTATATTTCAACATGCATTTCATAGTTAATTCCATTTTCAAGTCAACATACTCATAACACATGATCATACATAATTTATTCTTAAATTTGTGTATCATGCTCCTTTTCTCATAGACAATAATCTTCTCATTTTTAGGCATTATTAATCATTAATAATCCATAAAAACACATTTAATTACCTTAGGTAATCTCATAAAATTAACTCACTAATTATAAGCGACATAGTCAGCCATCCTCACCTTATGATGTGCTCAACTAGCTGCCTTATCGAAACCCCTCGATCCGTCCTCGTTCTAGACCGATCGGAAATGGAAAATCTGGACAGTGGGTGAAAGCCGGGCGGCTTTCGTGAAAGCTGGGCGGCTTTCGGGTTCTGCAGTTCCGAGCAGCTCCCTTTGAGTGGCGGTTTCCGGCGGTTTCGACTCCTATCGATTCACCTACTCTTCTAAGTTAAATACCACCACTTTATATCAATATTCCACACTTTTAAATGTGTAGAACATCATGTTTAATCCACCATATGATTTCTTACAAATCATACATGATAAAACTAGTTAAAGAACAATAGTTGTGTTCTTACCTTTCTTCCTAGCTATTTCTCTTTGAGCTTCCTTGCCCCTTGCCTCCTCCAAGCTAGAGTTTTTGTTTGAGCTCCTCCCAGACCTTATCTCTCTATTTCTTACGTGTGGTGTCAATGAGAAGAAAGGAGAAGCACCCCCCTTAATCAAAGCTCCAAAAATATGAGGAATAGGGCCTTAGGAGCCTTCATATGTCCTCTCCCAACTCCCTCACACGTATGTCCGCACACACACATCTTTCCTTGTATCTTCCAGCTCTCATTTTGTCAATTAGAGCACATAAAAACGTGGGATGGCCCCCACTCATGTGGAAGGTCATCCCATTGTGTCCCGGTGTGTATAATCGACCCCGAAAGTTGTATTTCTCGGACCGTTTTAATTATATTTTATTTCTTTGGGCCAAATACAATATATCACGCGTTCCTAATAATTATGGGCCTTCAGAATAGATTTACATCCCCCGACATTAATTTAGGAGTCTCCGAAATTCATTTCGGGCTGTTATCCGCTAAGTTACCAACACCGGTAATTGGGCCTCATTTGACCAACATGTCAACTCCATGCCCTTTCCATGGCCCAACTAAAATATCCACCACCATATACATATTATCTTGATCAAGATGAATATAATATGTGGTTCTGGAATTATCGGGCGGGCCCCCGTTCCCGGCGTGGGCCCCACATACAATTTACTATTCACGTAAAAGAATTAATAAAAGTTTTCAATTACGCAAATTCATAAATCATCCTTCAAGGTTTATTACATAATTTACTAAAAGTAAATATGCTTGGGGACGGTGTTACAACTCCCTCCTCCGATCGGGCCGATGTTAGCAAGCGAAAGCAGATCGTCGGTGAGGATCAGGGCCTAAAGAGGCCCAAAGCTGAGCCTGCCGGGGATGAACGGCCTCCCAAGAAGTCCCTTCAGGGGAAGGATCCTCCAAGGCCGTGGTGATCCTTGATGGATCAGATAATGAGGCCGCCTCTCCTCCTAGGCCGCCGCCCGTTACTTCAGTGGGCAAAAGCTTGAGCGATCCTCTTCTGCCCGGTTCCGAGGATTCCTTTTCTGACATCATTGAGTTCTTCGGGTTGGGCCCCCGTGCGGAGTCAAAGAGATTGTTCGGTCAGACGGCCTCTTCCATTTGGTGCTCTTTGGGGTTAAAACTCCCTCGTGACTTTGCCACTCGTGAGAGCCCGGTGGATCTTCATGAGTGCGGCCTTAACACTCTTAATAAGGCTGCTGTCTATTTTTGCAAGGCGCGATTTGCCTATGAAGCTCAGGAGCATGCTTCCGCCCAGGTGCGTTGCGAAGGCGATGATCTGGTGAAGAAGGCCAAAGAGTGCCTGAACAAGATGCAGCAGGACTTGAACGTTGCTCTTGGGCTTGCTAAGGGGAGTTCATCTCTTCAGGAGACGGTTAAGAAACAAGTCGAGGAGTTGCAGCTTCTTCGTGCCAAAATGACCGCCGTGGAGAAATCCAACGTGCAGCTTCGCCAGGTTGGTGTGGAGGGGGCCGTCCCTGTTTTTGAGGCTGATGTTTCCAAAATCAAGGAAACTGGCTCAATTGAGTTCCAGAAATCCAAGGCCTACGTCGATGCCGTGAACGTCCGTGTGAAGGAGCGTCTTGCCCAGAGCTTCGGGGAGTATCTGGCTAAGAGTTCTGATATGTTGAAGGACGGCAATGAGCTGGTATCGAAGACCCCCGCCGGCCAGGAATTCCTTGCGGAGCTTGCCGACAATAGTTTTGCCAAGGGGATGGTCGGCCTTTTGGCCGGGAATCTCCCGGCCCTCGAGCGTTATATCCCCACTCCCTTTGATCCTGAGGCTGCTGGTTTCAATGCTTCGTTTGCTGAGGCCTATGAGGAGGCTTTGAAGGAGAAGTCTCAGGCGAAGGGCGGCCCCTCTCGTAACTGAGGGAGTTTTTCAAATTCTGTGTGCTGGCCGCACATTCTGGCCAGCAGGCCGTCCTTGTTATAGCGCCTAATGTTTTTAAGATGGCTTACTTCACCTCTCACGCCTTTGAGAACTCTTTTGGCCTTCAAACAATCTTGGTCTGCAACCGGGCATCGGTTTGGGTTCATAGAAAACTCTTGCAGGCACATCTATATTCAAGGATAGCTCTCCGAGGCGTGACAGCTCGAGTTATTTTGTACTCTTGATTTCACTCCGAACTCGTGTATGCTTATGTACTTTCCGACCGGTAGAGTCGATGAATAAAGTGTATTGCCTGATTGCTATGATCATCTTTTAACTTCGTTCCTAGTGCCTCCCTCTTTTTTTGAGGTCTTTATCTTCGTCCCGTCATCCGCTCGTCTTACCTGCCCATTTGGCCCAGTCCTTTGGATCCTGAGCTGGGCTCGGCCGCGATTGTGATGCGGAACGGGTTTATCCCCTTTGGGGATTCCCCGTTCTTCGTCCCGTCATCCGCTCGTCTCACCTGCCCATTTGGCCCGGTCCTTTGGATCCTGAACTGGGCTCGGCTGTGATTGTGATTCGGAACGGGTTTATCCCCTTTGGGGATTCCCCAGCGCCCCTCTGTTTTTTCCGGGGTATTTAGCTTCGTCCCGTCATCCGCTCGTCTTACCTGCCCATTTGGCCTGGTCCTTTGGATCCTGAGCTGGGCTCGACCGCGATTGTGATGCGGAACGGGTTTATCCCTTTTGGGGATTCCCCGTTCTTCGTCCCGTCATCCGCTCGTCTTACCTACCCATTTGGCCCGGTCCTTTGGATCCTGAGCTGGGCTCGGCCGCGATTGTGATGCGGAACGGGTTTATCCCCTTTGGGGATTCCCCAGTGCCCCTCTGTTTTTTGAGGGGTCTTTAGCTTCGTCCCATCATCCGCTCGTCTTACCTGCCCATTTGACCCGGTCCTTTGGTTCCTGAGTTGGGCTCGGTCTCGATTGTGATGCGGAACGGGTTTATCCCCTTTGGGGATTCCCCGTTCTTCGTCCCGTCATCCGCTCGTCTTACCTGCCCATTTGGCCCGGTCCTTTGGATCCTGAGCTGGGCTCGGCCACGATTGTGATGCGGAATGGGTTTATCCCCTTTGGGGATTCCCCAGTGCCCCTCTTTTTTTTGAGGGGTTTTTGATGTGGTGGTTGTACCGTTTGGATGATTGGTATTGCTCGACGGAGAATGTTAATCTCCTCTAGGAGGTTCGTACTGTTCCTATGAAGACAATGTACACCACGATTTTATCGTGGAAACTCGGAAAGGAAAAACCACGGGACTTTTTAGGCTAATGTCCAAGCCTGCTCGTTTTCATTAATTCCTGATGTTACATCGTATGAACTGAAACTTCCTTTTTGTCTCTCCCTTTTTTTTGGGGGAACCTACTGGTAGAACTTCTTCAGGTGCTCCACATTCCATATGCCAGCGGGGCGCCCTGCCATGGTTTGTAGGAGGAACGTCCCTGCCGCCAATC